TTTTTATGACATAGATGCTAATGCCAACTCACAAGTTCCAGCCTACTCCCCATCCCTACTAAAATTTCTCCTTATTTTTTTGAAGTGAGAAAACAGACTTTTTGCCCCAGGAATGGGGCAACCTAGGACGCTAGGCATACAGCAAATGTAAAATGCCACATGCTAAAAAAAGTTTCATTGAATCCAGGGAAAATTTATTGGGTACACCTTGCAACTTGTTTGATTTAAAAAAAAAAGACAATTTTTAAGCTAGAACGCTCATGTTCGAACTCGATCAGTCTTTTTATGAGACAGCGATCATGAGATCGTCATCTCAATTCCTTCTGGAGTAATCGTGCGGACAGTCCAACAGACAAACAAGCAGAATGAAACCTTTTTTGGTCAGTGGACTAATGGGCTTCGCTAATCGCTCAGCCAATAAGTCACTTTTTGATACTCTTTTGGACACCAAAAACAGCGTACTGTAAAACGCATTAACAATTCTTTGTTACTGTGAAACAACTCAGGGCTGGGGAAATTTAGTCATCTTACATTAGGTGTTTGAGCAACTTAAAAAGCATGTGTCACACTACAAGTGTGACGTCCTTAGCACGTCGCATGTGTGGTGTGACCGTATTTTAAGTCGCGTTTGTGACGTGACCTATGTGTTCTGCCTATACCATCTTGGCTGATGTGGCATCAATTGGTGTGACCAAAATTCGGGTCACATTGCGTGGTATGATCAGACACGGTCTCACCAATCGGTGTGACATATGTCACATTAGTTTTTCCAGTGTTTTTGTGAATTGGTCTTTTATTGGACCCTAGTTTTACAAATGCACAATGTTTTTCGCGTGGTTGGCGCGCGCGTTTAGAGTGGACTACTCGAAGACCAATGTTTTCATTGTTGGGCTGTTACCTGCACTCGGCCCAAAGTTGCAACAGGTGGTGTTGACGCGCTTCCCCCTGCCCCGCAATCACCTCCCACCGCCTTTCTGCATAATTTGTGTTTGTTTCAGTATGAAGACGAGCTGGCCGTTGAGTTTTGTGGCGTTCCACATCGTGGCAATTTGGCTTTTCGCTGTTTTATTAAGCACATCGCAAGCTTATATCGTCAAGCCACCTTCAGTAGGAGAACGGCCAAAAGAAATGTGGATGTCTTCGGTTAGTTTTGATGCTTTGCATACTCATCTAGGGTCAGCTGGCCAATGATGGCCACTGTACCAGTGATGGACACTTGGGGAGATCCATCTCTTAAGGTGGCATCTTGCCCTATTCGTAGCAAAGACTTTGCGAGTGTTCCTTATGGACTTCGTCGCGCTCCCATGTCTTATCTCTGCGAAAAGCATCGCTTCACAGTTGCCACACTGTTAAAAGCTTACAGTGAATTTAATTGTAAGCTACGGTTAAGGGGGCATCCTAGTGTAGTAGGCCCAGAAATACGTGTTTTTCGCGATTTTTTGTCTTTTAAATGGAAGCAAGTGGGGGAAAACCTAGTTAGTGGGGTCAAAGTACGTAACTTTCTGTGTCCAAACCTCCCAAGAAGTTGCCCGTACTCCCACGCATGCCGGAGAAACGGCCCACCAACAAACATGTGTCGCGAGTGTCGTTGTCGCACTGCGTACACGATATTTGCCGAACGAATGGTCCGATCGGGCTCAAATTTTTGGTGTGAGCTCTCAGATAGTGTGGCTAACGCATGAACCTCCAGTTTTGAGCTCAGGCAACTAGAACCTTATCAAAACAATTCGTAAAGTTGAAATTTTACCCTAATTTTAGAAACTAAAGGTTTAGAGTATTCAAAAAAATAGTAAAAATCATTTGTTTTCAAAGTCGGAGGTTCATGCGATAGCGGCAAGTGTAAAGAACACGCAGACACATGAGTTGGCCCGATCTGACCATTTGAAGGTTAGTTATCGTGTAGCCTACGCAGTGCGACAACGACACTCGCGACACTTCTTTGTTGGCGGGCCGTTTCTCCGGCATGCGTGGGAGTTCGGGCAACTTCTTGGCAGTTTTGGACACAGAAAGTTACGTTCTTTAACCCCGACAACTAGGCTTTCCCCCGCTTTCTTCCATTTAAAAAACAAAAATCTCGAAAAACACGTGTTTTTGGGCCTGCTACACTAGGATGCCCCCTTAACCCCTGCAGCACCGTAGGCTATGGTGACATTCACCGTAGGCTACGGTGACATTCACCGTAGGCTACGGTGAATTACAATGTAAGCTACGGTGAATTTCCCCGTAGGCTACGGTGAATATTACCGTAAGCTACGGTGCTGCAGGGGTTCACCGTAGCTTACAATGAAATTCACTGTAAGCTTTTAACAGTGCATGTCTCGATTTGTAAAAGCAATACAGTCTCACTCGAATACGAAGCATTCCGATTCCTTCGCAATCCGAAAAGCGTCTGCGAAGCATTGCCTTTGAAAAAGTTAACAGTGTACACATTTAGATGCAGGGGAAAAGTTCGTCCAAAGAGCAACGTTATAAAGCAGAACTAGAAATGATGCAAATTCGTGTCGGGCGTCGGTAATACTTAGGACCATCCCTTTCTTGTGGTTAACTTTAGTGCTTTTACATTAAGATTGAAACTTTGATTGTGCAGACACAACTGATAACAGCGCGCGGTTACCCATCCGAGACCCACGAGGTGAGAACAGCTGACGGGTACCTTCTTACGATCCACCGTATTCCGAGGCCAGCTACTGGCTCCGGTAATGCAACGCTTCACGGCGTTCCCGTACTAGTCGGTCACGGTATGGGCTCGAGTAATGAGCAGTGGCTTTTGCGAGAAAAAGACAATCTAAGTGAGTAATCTTAACTGTAACAGACAGTACTTTCATTTTAGTCACAGTCATCTAGGGCTACTTTGGCCCAAACCCAGAACTTTTGTTTCAGACCGGTGTTAAATGCGTTCTAGAGAAGATATAGTGTCGCTATAGGTCTTGTTTTGAAGCTAAAGACATGTTCACTGATAAAACAAGTGTTTAATGTTGCATGTCAATTGGTGTTTAAGGTCAAGTGTGCATTTTCACAACACCTTGTACTGTAAAAAGTTTTGTTGGAAATTTCCGAACAATGAACTAGAAAATTGGCAGCCCGAACAGTTTGGAAAATTTGAAATCTAAACAGTTTGGAAACACAATTTTCCAAACTATTTCGAAATTTCGAAATTTTTTAGAGATCTCTCAAAAACGTTTGACCATCATTTTTGAATATATTGTCAAATTGTCATTTTTGATGCTAATAAACTTGATTCTGCACTGTTAAAAATTTTGGGGGAGATTTTACAGAAAAAGTCTAGGTATACTTAGTGCCAAGTAAAAGTCTGGTTAAATTACCATAGTCTGTAAAATTACAGACACTTGTAAAAATAACTCCACAAAATTTCTTTAAAACTAATACCAAATATTTCTGTAAATGTATTTACGAATGTTTTCTGTAATTTTTACCCACATTATTCTGAGGTAATATAGGAATGACGTGAGCTAGAGGTCTGAAGTTTTCAGGGTATTATTGTTGTTACTTCTGGACAACGAAACGGTTGATGCAAATCCTGGCAACCACCCCTGAGTGGGTCTGAGGGGGTTACGAAGAAATAGTGGTTGGTTCAAGAAGTGGGATAAAAATATTTCTTTATGGTCTCCTAAGGGGTAACTTGTGAAAGTAAAGCCCTTCGGGCGGAGTTTCTCTCACAAAAGTGGCCCAAAAGAAGATATAGTAATTTTAGAAAATATTCGATGGTCTTCTAAGGGGTAACCTATGAACGTACAACCCTGTGGGCTAAAATTTTGACTGTTTGGCTCTTTCTCTCACTGTTTAGGCGCTAGAGTGAGTTTCTCTCACAAAAGTGGCCCGAAAATAAATATATTAATTTTAGAAAATATGTCATGGTCTCCAAAGTTGCAAATCGTGAAAGCTGAACCCTGGGCTAAAATGTCGTCCGTCTGGCTTTCACTGTTAACTTACAAAAGGGAGCATTTCTTACCAAAATGGCCAAAACAGAAATATTTTTATTTTTTCAGGCGTACACTTGTCTGAGAAGTATGCCGTTGGTTCAAAATTCCATTCTAAGCAGAAGAGTGGGCTTGTTTTATGCTGGCACATCATTAATTAAATGTGTACACTCCCATCCAAAAAAAAAAACATTAAAAAAATCGTTGTTTGAACACGTTCTGAGTCGAGGGGTGTGGGACTGGCCTAAAAGGTGTACACATGATGTCTTGACAATCATTGTTTCAGATTGTATGTGATTGTTTATGATTGTGTCCGAGGGGGCCACCACTTCAACTGAGGATGTACCCAGGATTACGTGATTACAGGGATTACACGTCAATTTTGAGTGATTACACGTCAATTTTGTTGAATTTTAGGCTCTAAAACCATCAAATTTGGACAATAAGGTAAAATATAGTGATAATGTTTAAAAATTTGGTCAAAGATTACACGGAATAGACAAGGATTACGTAGGGATTACACCCTCATCTGTACACCGGATTACACGAGTGGTGGCCCCCTCGATTGTGTCGATGATTGTCTCTGATTGTTGGATAAATATTGGGACACATTTTGAAAAATTGTGTCTGAATTTGTGTGATTGTTTCAGATTGTGTGTGATTGTTTCAGATTGTGTGTCATTGTGTCTGATTCTGTGTGATTGTCTCTGATTCTGTGTGATTGTCTCTGATTTTGCGCGATTATTTCTGATTGTGTGTGATTGTCTCTGATTGTTTCAGATTTTTGGATAAATATTGTGACATATTTTGTAAATTTGTGTCAGATTGTGACTTGATTGTGTCGTGATTGTGTGCGATTGTTTCGGATTGTGTGTGATTGTCTTTGATTGTGTGTGATTGTTTCTGAATGTTTTTCCCGATGTACACATATTGTGTCCAGTTCCACACCCCTCGTTCTGAGTCATTCAGAGTATGCGTGGACGTATATTTAACTTCTTCTGGGTGTAGTCTTATATATCTTTTCATAGGTGTGTAATTGGATCCATAATCTAACATCAACAAACCTAGAAGGGATTTGGCATAACTTGCATGTAGTCCACAAACTGCAGCACACTCAGCCAAACATGTTCAGCGTATGAAAAGAATGCTTCGTTTGTTGAGTGTTGATTACGAAGTAGACAGCAAAGGTACCTGGCAAAAAGATGGTTTAAAGCGAGCCGTCACTCAAACGGGCCGAATGCCCGTTTTCTGATAGAAGTTGTATTACATCGTAAAAATTCAGAAGGGACGGGCCGAAGGCCCGTTCCAAACGCCGCCGGCAGGCCAAGCTTGGCCCACTCCCTGCCGGACCGAGTTGCCGGTGAAGCGAAGCGGAGCTGGCAACTTGGCTTGGCGGAAGAGTGGGCCTAGCTTGTTTATTCTTAAGCAAAGCAGAAGGGTGGGGTGTATTCACGTTGTTGCCCCGTTACAGTCTTTTGTCACGTCCATCTCTAGGGCCGCAGGCCCCGAGGGGTCCCCCACTTCCAAAATAGGTGTACAGCGAGTTGCCGAGTTGCCGGGAGTAGGGCGCGAGTTGGAATCAATTTTTAGAGTGTTTTGCGCGATTTTGGCACACTGTAAAAAAAATTCTGAAAATTCAGTAGATGTTTTTCAGAATCGGCACTCTGAATTTTGTTTTCAGACCATTACTCAAAATTTTCTAAGTTTAGACTGAAAATCCAGACTTCTTACTCTGAATCAGGTTTTCAGAGCAATTTGTCTGAAAATTTTAAAGTATATTTTCAGACTATACACTGAATCTGTAATTCAGAGTTACCGGTATGAATTTCGAGTGGGAAGTCCACCGGACAGGTGGGCGAAGCACACCAGTAGCCGACGCTGCTCCCCACGCAGGTAGCCGGCAGCCGAATGGTTAAGGTTAAGGTTAAGGCAACTCCGTTTGGCGGAAGGCGAGGGGTCCCCCACTCGCCAACTTGATTGACAGGATTGACTTGGTTGACAGGATTTGCCGTTGGCACTTTGTTTTCAGGGAGTGAACCTAAAGATACCCTGAAAATTTTAGACCTCTGGCTCATCTCCTTCCTCTTGCACGCTCAAAGGACGGACGGACGCCAAAGCGGTTGCATAAGCCCGCTAATGCTTTTAAGAGCAGAAGGGCGGGCTAAGATCGACGGAGGAAGTACCGTCCAAAATATAACATTTCGAGTCAGAATCAGTTCTTGGAATTGTCATCTCTTCAATCGTTTCAAAGCTAGAGGTTGATATTCTTAAGGTGGCAGACCTGTGAATTGAAGGGTTTGGAAAAATAGTCAGTACATAAAACCTACACGCCGCATCAATTTAGGATTAAATATGTATGTGCGACTGTCAACAAAATTGCTACTAACTCTAAGAAGATAGCAGCTAGTGGTTGACCTGGGGGTTTTCAAATTAAGAGATGGAAGTACTAGAAAAAAAACATAAGGCTGAAATACGAAAAAATTGAAAAATTTGTTTGGCCCATTGTGATTTTTTTCGAGTACTTCCATTTCGAAATTTGCAAAACCCTCAGGTCAACCCCTAGGGGCATCTTTTAAGAGTAACTAGCAATTTTTTTTGACCGTCGCAGACCCGTCCGTTGCGCTGCAATCGTGTACACCGAGAAGGACTGCATCGTTCCAGTTGAAGACGAAGATTGGCATGTTCCTGGAGAGTGTGCGTACTGACGCCAACAGCAAAACTAGCGTCCATCCTTGCTCTTAATACATCTTTAATCCTTAATTGATGCGGAGTGTGGTTTTTATGTAGTGACGATTCTTGCAAACCCTTACATTTCACAGGTCTGCCATCTTAATGTTATTAGTGTATATAGTAATAAATGACTAATTTCTTGTTAATGTTAGTAATTTGGATATTACAGTTTATCTGCTAGCTGATTACGGCTTCGACGTTTGGCTGGCTAACTACAGGGGAAGTTTTTATGCACAGCGTCACGAAACTCTTTCTGTCGCGTCACAGAAATTCTGGGACTTCAGGTAGCTACCATTATGCGATAATAGTCGAAGGGAAGCTGGCAAGCTGCATACTCTGACAATCACGATGGCTACACGAAATCTCAAAATGACAGAAACAACGAAACGGACCACAGATTTGGCTGTGCCTCGTTGCCGTCCACCTGACCATGAGACTAGAACGGTGTAACGGACAAGAGACTATGGGCGGGCGGAACCTTGCTTGTGAGACGTTGCGACCGCGAGGCTTCGCCGCCTCTGGGAATTTCGGAATGATATAAAGTGCAAACGAAAGGTAAAGAATGATCTACCCCCAGTAGCTCGCGTCCGCGTGCGGCGGAGCCCACGTCCGCGTGTGGCGGTGCCGTTGTTCCGACCGCCGTCCTTGTCGTCGCTGCCGCCGCAGCGCTCATGACGCGACGCTTTATCAAATTCGGAACGAGCTGTTGTTTTAAAACCGGAAAGAGAGGGGGTCATTACCCTCGCATGAGAAAATTCCGAATTTATTGCAAGTACCGTATGATAGCCTAGAAGAGTTCGGTTGTATCTCATAGAGTGGATTTGATTGGAATAATTTTAAAATGAGTTATTGCCTTTCCCTGATGGTATTCTTGTTCGTGCATTAATGCATTCTAACATATAATCTGTTGTACCATAGCAATCTCTGAGCAAATGTTTTGATGCACCCAGAAGACCGTTTAGTCCATATAACCAAATTCAAAACCGACGAAATTTTAGCTCTTGGGACTAAAATTTTATTCGTGGTGATGAAATAATTTGGTCTAGATGACTTAATTTGATTGGTTCGACTATATTTAGTTAAAAATAGGGTTACTAAATTTTAGTCGGTTTTAGGAACTAAATTTTGGTTCTTACAACCCTGATTTAGTTGTATCAATTAAATGGTTCTCTGGGTGTGGTGTTTGTCAGCAGTACGTTAAGACACTTATTTTCTCTTCACCTGGATACTGTGGAGCTTGCCAGTAGAACCAGAAATACAGTCAGGGTGTTAAAACAACTGTGAACTATTCGTAGATAGTATGTTGAAGATTGCACAAGCTTGCTGAATGCCGACGAATATGTCACCTGTGAACCAATGAAATTCTATTAGACAAAGTGCGCTCACCTATCATTACAATATTTCCTTCTCTTTACCATGGACCGCAAATATTTTAGTCTTAAAGGATACCGGTAATTGCATACTTGAGGGACTCTTCTGTCTCGAGTCACTCAAGTATACCATTGGAAAGACTTAATCGCCTTTTTATGCTCTTTTATTAAAAACTATCTCCGGGTTAGTTCTACCTAACAAAGACAAAATAGTTAGCACTACCAAATTTTGTCAAAATTTGCTTAAATTTGCCGAAAAGCACGAATACTCACTCTTTTGTCTTAAGTCGAACTGGTCCAACCTGATACCATTAAAATTGCGATCTCTAGGCCCAAAATTATTACAATAATAGTACCGAAAAGTACTCGCTTTTCCTATGTTTAAGTACAGATCCGTCTGTATATCGAAAACAATTTGAGTTACAGCAAAGCGGCGCACTCCAGCCCGAAAGGTTCTTTAAATAATGCACATGTTTCGTGGGAAACGATTTTCTCGCAATTCTTTTTAGCAGGTGATTTTTCCAGTATCTCTGCTTGGACAACAGCTAAATGGGTACCGTTCACGATAGCCACCCGGGTGGAAAGAACTTAACATTGAACTACATAGCTGCAGTGAAAATTCTGTTAACACCGTTCTTAATGTCAAGTGAAAGCGGTGTTCACTAAGAGGTACTGCTTGAGTTAAGCAAAAGTTCACTGTCAAAGTTCGAATAAGTTCACAAGAAGTTCACAAGAAGTGAAGAAATGTGCATGGGAAGTTAACTTAAGTTAGCTAAAAGTATACTAAAAGTATAACGAAACTACTAGTTTTTTCGACAAAGTTAACTTTTTCAGGAAGTTTTGGGGTACTTTTCGGGACTTTTCTTATACTTAAACTATACTTTCAAAAATACTTCACAGTTAATTCCTAGGGCTGTTTTATTACATCAAAATGTCAACTATCAACTTCACCCACACCCACCCCCTCCCCCCCCCAAAAAAAAAGATTTTTTTCTTTTATTTTGATTCCCTTTTCTTCCCCTTCTTATTCGTATTCTTTCTTGAGATGTTTAGTTGATTATGCACTCGGCTGCCGGCTGGAGTTGAACCTGGGACCTTGGACTTGTGAACACACACATTAGACCACTCGGCTAATCAGCCGACGTAGCCGTTGGTCGTCTCCTGCCAGGGCATATGGCAGAGCCTCCGCTGAACCGTAGTCAATGGCTCAGTATACTTTAAGTGTAATTTACGTGTACTTTTGGTGTAGTTTTGGTGTAGTTTCTATAAACCGCGCCATTGGAATGCATATTCTCGGGAGCTCAGCATAGATTCGTGCATTTCGTTATGCATTGAAGTGTTGCCTCTATCCCTCTATCTCCTTCACATGATTGTGTGCTTTTGAGAACGACGTTAAGTTGGGTTTGTCGACTGCAACACACGAGCCGTGTGGTCGCCCAGGTTAGGGCCAGACTGCACACTAAGCTAAACTGATCGAGATGGGAATTCCCCTTGGGATCCCAAACACGCAGCTAGCGGTAGTTTGGCACATCCCGTAAGCAGGATGGGGTTTGGGAATACCTGGTAGGGGTATGCATAGTTTTCAAAACGTAACAACAGGTCAGCAGGTGGCTAAAAATTCAACTGTACAAATCACTTAATGAGCATAAAATGTATGCATTTAGTACTTTTAGTGATAAATTTTAAACTATACTATTATTTTAACCGTAGAAATTTATTCAAAGTGTGTTAAATGTTACAAGTTCACTGCACCCCAAACAGTACATAGTTGTCAACTATTTAAAGTGCTCATAGATAACTAAATGGCAACATCAAAGTACATGATATCTTCATTTAAAGAGTTTTTTAAAAAGTAAACATCGAACTACATTCAAAGTTCACGAAAACTTCACTGGAAAGTATTCTGACCAATAAAGAACTATGTGCAGTTTAATCTTTACTAAAACTACACTCTCTGTGTAGTTCCGTAGTTAACTTTTTAGTATACCTGAAAATGTATACTTTAAAGTTAACTTTTAGTTAATTCCCTTCCACCCGGGCATGGTCCAGTATTGTCAACAATAATTCAACAATACTCTTGGTTTCTCGAGCGTCGCGCAAAGGTACTTGGTTTCTCTAGAGGCGCTGCGCCGTGCGTTTTCTGAGTTACGGCGGAGCGATGTAATTATTATATTCAACACATTTTTCCAATTTGAGAGTGCAATAATGTCTTGGATGCATCACCTAAAATAAGTTTCCGGAACGGAGCTGCACTGTGTTGGTGGATGAATATAATCCGATATAATCAGAAAGTCCTTGTTCACGTATTCGAAGAAGGGCAGAGGAGGTTATGTTGCCCAGCAGGCACGACCGCCAGGCTGAGACGCGTATGGAACCACTGGTGTGCGTCAGGGTTTAGCATTTTTTGATTACCAGCATGGAAGGTGCACATATATAGATAACATTAACCTTACAATTTAATGCTAACCGCGCGAATAAAATTGCAAAATTTCCACGAAATTCTAATTTTCCTAGTAGCAAGTTTCCCAGTTTTTTAGTTTTTCAGTTTGCTTTAACCCGTAACTCGGTTCTCACAACCGAGTCGCGTAGTTACTATACTCAACTATACTTTTTACCAAAGGAAGCCTGGTCATAGCAACTAACATGAGATGGTTATGGCAACCGAGTGACCTTAGTTCGTATAACCGAGTTACTAGTGAAGAAGATAAAATTTTAAATCTTTCGGAGGCACTTCCGCCTCGTTCCCTTACCCAGAAAAGTTATCATCTTGCTAACCCAGTAAGGCATGTATTCAGGAACTAGTGCGTACTTCGTTGATTCCGACCTCGCAGAGCGATCACGCAGAGAAACCCGTCTTAAGCACGGAATTGCGTTTCGCTATAGCCACCGAAGGCCCAAATCCGAAATGTGAAACTAAACTTCGCTTCCCCCTTCAATAGGTTTTCGCTTTCACTCAGCCAACAAGAAAACGCATGCATCTCATGATTTTTTTTCAGCGCAGCTGGCACGAGAATGGCGTATATGACCAGGCGGCTACGATCGACTATGTCCTAGGAGTGACGCAACGCCCTGCTTTGCTCACGCTGGGTCACTCAATGAGCTGTACGCTGCAGCTTGTTCTGCTAAGCGAGCGTCCTCACTATGCAGCAAAGGTGCTTGGTAATGTCCTTTTGGCACCGCCTATCTTTTTCAAGTACCCCTCGGGCTACCTGGAGCACAGCCGTGTCCTCTTCAAGTACTACCCAAATTACAAGGTAATTTTCCTCTATGCCTTCATAAAAATCCTGCTCTTTTGTTTCGCAAATAATAATAATAAT